ATCTTTTAGAGGTTTTCATAATACCTTTACAGAAAGAGTTGCCAGTTTGGCGGATTTGGATTTTGGGGTTTAGCAGAAGATAAGGAAAATTAATTTTTCATCAGGGTTAATACAAGCTAGCAGGGCCACAAAGGCTGAGAAAAATGGTTTGGGAATTTGTCAAGTGTTGTCACTCTAGAATAATGCTGCTTAACGTCTGATAGGTGTAATCAAGAGTTGAGATTTCTATAGAGGGGGATTAATCAATTTGCTCACTACAGAATGCAAGTTGGTGATACCATTCCTTCATGGGGTTTAAGAATGAAAATAAGATTTGATCTGTCAAATTGCAAGCAGCTCTGACAGTATCAATAGGCATTTTTATCAGTACATTTTAAAGCATTTGTTATAAATAAATTTGTCCTGCTAATGTTGGTGGCAAATAAACTTCATCTTCATAAAACTGTCATAATGGTTATGACAGAGGCTCCAGCTTGCTAAATTCAAGCAGTCCTTCATAGAATTCTGCTTTTAGAATTTGTGATCTCATATTTGACAGAATTCTTTCTAAGTTGCTCAAAACCAACACTTGACTATATACAGATCTGTATAGTGAGAGGCTGATGAAAAACAGCCTTGATAGGTATCAGTGAATAGGTTCTAAAAGTCATGGCCATTGAATGGCATCAGTTCTTTTTGTTAGTCTAGTTTCAGGTCAAACTGCAGCTTCTTCCAGAGCAGATGTTTGAAAAACATTCACCATGTAAATCAAATCCTTTTACCTCAATCTTTTCACCTTTATTTATATACACTCAGTATTTGAAATTAACTTGTTTTGGCGCTGCTCACAATCTCTCAGTGCTTGAAATTTGAAAGATGCTTTTTATCCTTTCCCCTGATCAGAACACCTACAACTTTAAAAAGGCATTTTCATTACTCTAGCTTTAACTGAACAATAGAAAAGTTTCTTTTTCATTTAAGAGAACTCTTTCCTGGCCAGATCATAGGAAGGCAGACCCTTTGTAAAACTTCAAGATTTGGAGCTCGAAACTCTGGATGATTTATAATCTAGAAATTAAGGAGTAGACAATAAGAGGAAAACATTCTTCTGTCATTGATTTGCAGACAAAGGATGAAAAATAATTTTCTGCTCAGGACTTTAGAGGAAATTTGCAGTATAAAATCAGAACTTGTATCAATCAGTCCCAGGTCTCTGTGGTCGACTGAGGCTTTGTATCTGGGGTCAGCATTTTGTATATCAAATTGTGTGAGGCAGGCCATGATGATGAATAGATGCATCTCTGAAAAATTTAGTGCAGCCCTGTACATTGTGAAATACTCTAAGGAAGAACATGTATTTTGACATGAGAAGGCTTAAAACTTTAATTCCTCCCTCTCTTGCTGCATATTTAAATCTGGGAAGGCAGCGATGTAAGTTGATGAAAAATAACAATGTAGAAATTGTCTTCAGGAAAAGCAAAATTTGATTTGAGCTAGACCTGAGACATTTTAAGTAGAAGAAATGTTAGCAATTTAGCTTCTGTGATTTAGATGTCGTTTGGGGGTAGCTACTATAGTACAGCTTTAGTGGACTTAGCTGCTTGCCTGTAATTTGCTGTGTGTTTTTGGTGCCAGCTCGTGAGGGAACAGCAGGAGTCAGAATATGTACAGTCATCTTTACAGCTGTATGTCCTTTCCTCCAAAATGTCAGTGTACTCCTGTGAGCATGTGACCTGTCAATAATGTCCTGAGGTTTTGTAGCTTTTAAGTCCAGAATGTAAAAAGCTCTTTGCAAGTGTTTTGCTTGACTTGGTTCTTCACCTGTGAGCATGTGACCTGTCAATAATGTCCTGAGGTTTTGTAGCTTTAAGTCCAGAAAAAGCTCTTTGCAGGTGTTTTGCTTGACTTGGTTCTTCGTTGTTGTACCTGGAAAAGCCACTTGTTGTTGTGTTGCCTAGAAGTTTGAAGAATGGTGGTGGTGGTGAGAGTAATTCTCTACTACATGGTACAGGTTGTTCATTTTGGCTTGGACAGTGTTTGTCCTTGCCCTGTCATGGCTTTAACCAGTGAAAAAGGAATTATTGCTGCAATTCTTCGTCTGGATCATTTTGCTTGTTGGCACATGTCACTTAGCAGTCACGTTTGGTTTTTATTTCTTAAGAAAACCACCGGGTTTTTATCTTCACTTGAAGCCAGACTGCCTGTAACAGGAATTAATGTCTTGCTGACTTGCTCATCTCTGTTGGGCCTGGAGCACCATGTCTGACTCACAGACCTCTCTGGAGAAGCAGTGCTGCAGTTTTGTCTCTGCTTCCCCTCAAAACCAGTCATCTCAAAACCAGTAAATGTTCAGAGCAGTAATGTAAAAAAGGGATTGGTTGATTCAGTTGCCTTTCCTTTCATTCATTTTGCAGGAACAAGCAAAACTTGTTCCATCGCCTGTCTTTATTGTTTTCTGTAGGTTTTCTTATTTCTGAAATGGATCAGTTCATTAAAGAGTCCAGAGCTTTCCACTTTTTCAGACTCACAGAAGCATCTTGGTAGCAGCAAAGACCAATGGTGGCATTTGAGACCCCAGCAGGGAACAAACCCCATCAGAATTTTCATCAGTGCAAACCATTGTGGTGTGCTAATGCCTTTGACTCTGTTACAGTTCCCTGTTCAGTTTATACAGTTTTATTTGGTGATAATTGAGCTTGGTAGTTAAATATTGGGTGGTTGTTGGCCATCTTAGACTTTCATGTGAAATGATTGTTTGCTTTTGAAGTTTCAGTAATGAGCATGTTGGATGTGTTTTGTACCTGAGGGCTTTGCTCTCAGATGCTCTTCCGATGTGCTGGGATCGTTTTTTGGTTTGGAAAGAAGTGGTTGCAAATATTTATGGTTCTCACAGCAGGCATTTAGCAGAGATTAGATTTTAACTCCCAGTTATTGCATTTAAATTCCTTCTGGAATTTTTTTGTTCCTTTTGGTTTCATCATCTTCCAGCTGCTGTAGGGTTGAATAAAAGAAATTATCTGATCAAGGCATAGAGCTTATGGTGATGTTGATATCAGAACTAATATTAAAACAAGGATTTAATGCTGGTAAGGTTTTGTACACATGTTTGGGTTTTTCAGGAGTGCTCTTGCTTTTATATTTTTGAGTACAAATTGAAGAGAAACTGAAGGGAAAGCTTTGTAATTTCTCACTAATTGCTGCTCTCAAAGTTTTATGTGCCAAACTTTCCATGATTTGGTGCCATTCAGTTCAACAAAGAAAAAAACCTGTTTGTGATTAGAGATGGAAAATACAGATGCACATTTATGTTGCTTTCTTGTTTTGGACACTGTGGACAAATGCCATGATGAGCTTTAGCATTTTCCCTGTGACAGATTGTGCTTTTGAGTTGTAGTGGAAGGAGGTTTGAAGCTCGTTTATCTGGGATTTAAGTACTTGAGACGTTGTAGCCTGCAAATACTGTGTCATGCAGAGGCCTTGATTTTGAGGTGTAAATTCTGAACTACTGAGCTTGCAAACATGAGACTGGCCCACATACCACAGACTATTTCTTAGCTAAAAATCTTAGCTGAGGCTTAGTAACCAGTCCTCACTAGGTATTTCTTTTCTTTAATGGAGAAATGGGAGAAATTTATTGGAGAAATTTTAATGAACTTTAATGGAGAAATTTTCTTTAATGGCTTTTCTTTAATGGAGAAAGGTACTAATTTGTATTCTCAATGAAAATAATCTTGCTATTAGACCATAAGTCCGTTTCTTCTGCACCCTTGTGTTTTGTCTCCTTATCCATAAGAAATGTGCCAGTTAGCATGAAACCCTCTGGTTTGTGATGTGCTATGGGTGCAAAAGGAGTTTTGTGAATATTTAAGGGAAGGGGAAAAGAAAATCCTGTGTAAATAAAGGTGCTTTCATAATATTTTACTTTTTCCCCCTAATACATGCATTCTATTTGAGAGCTTTTGTGGGGTTACCAGAGGTTGGTTAGGGAGTTAGTCAAAGCCTTCCCACTGCAGATAAAATGTTCACTGGTATTTGAAGTCTAAAGTTGAAGTCCTGTCAAGGCATAGATACTGCTGTTGAATACAATGCATGTCATAGATGCAAAAGTACCTGATCTTTTGTCAGACTCTGCTGGTTGTTGCTCCATGGAATTTTCAGTGATTTTTCTAATCTGGACAGGCAGACACAAATTCAAGAATCACCTGTTTCTATGAAAAGAACAAACAGTTTGGGTAGAGGCAGTGGAAGGGAATAATTTCAGTGCTTTAAGCTCGTGGTTTTACTGTGCCTGATTGCACCAAGAGATGTAATGGCAAGAGCTACCTTGGATGAGAGAGACTGAGATGGTGTTTCACTGTGTTCATGATTACAAATCTGTATAGTAAGAGCTTTGTAAGGCAAACAAAACACCTTGAGGAACTGTTCCAAGTACAAACAGTGTCCGAGGAAAGGGACTGCTTAAAAAGCTGCTGGTGTAGAAGTTGGCAGAATGAGTATGCACTTCAAAATAAATACCAGTTTTTAACTGAAGGGAGGTTGGAGGTTTAAAGATGAGCAAAACATTTTCCTGGTTCTTCCAGCCTCCACAGTTCTTTGCTCCTCCTTCTGCAATGTGTATGTCTCTTGTTATATTAAAAAACAAAAAAAAAAACAAAAAAAAAAAAAAAGAAAAAGTAATAAAAATATAACTCACCATAGTTCACATGTAACCTGGAAGGAAGAATGATTTGGAAAAAGAAGTGAAAACATCTCGTTGCTTTGTATATGAAAAGACATGGTTGACCATTGATTATAGTAAAGCCTGCACAGAGTAAACTGTTCTTCAGATAGCACAGATTTATTTTAGGCTGAAGTGCAATTTCCAGGCTGAGCCTTTGCACGCGCCTGCCACAGCCACCAGTTTGCTTTAGCAGGCAAAGCCCTGGACATTCTGTGAATGAGCTGGAACATGGCAGGAGTCTGCTCAGGGCAAGGGTGTGCAGTGCCTGGACACTGAGCCGCTGTTGTGTTGTTGATTTCAGCAGGGGGGAGAGGATGCTGGCTTTTTTCACCCAGAGGGCCAACCCCAGCGGCCTCAGCAACCCCCGGAGCCGAAACAGCAGCCAGTGCGGAAGGTCACATTGACAAAGGGAATGCAGCAGCACCAACAGCAGCAGCAGGCACAGATCCATTCACCAGCTCCTCAAGGAGTCAAAAACATCCAGGGAATCCATCAACCTAAAAAGGTGATTTTTAGATGCATATTGCTGCTAGGAGTTTCACTGTCTAGCTGTGTTGCTCTATTAATAACCAGCATTCTGTTTGTCAATTGCTAGCACAGGGCTGCATGACCCAGGAGATGCATAATTGCATATAAAGCTTTTAATCTAGAGAGACTTGTTTGTACCCAGCACAGACTGGCAGTGCCTGCAGGTTGCTTCATCTGCTGATGTTCTGGCCAGCCCAGCACTCCCTGGGGAAGTGCATGTGTCCCGAGACAGCTACTGGAGGAGATGGTAACCAACGTGCTTTCTGGCTTTAAAGCCAAGTGGGTTTTTGAAGTTGTGCTTAAGATTTTATTTTGGCAGTTTCCTGCATATGTAGGAGCACACAGTAACTGTTTCAACTGCTCTTTGCTGGATCCCCGAAGTTGGTACCACTCAAAACAGTTGATCTTGTAACTTGATTTTTGCCCTGATCATGCGCTGGTAGGAGGCAGAGAAGGGTCAGCGTGGCAGCAATGTGTGCCTTCTCTACATTTGCAAGGTGGCACACTCCTTGAAGGTAGCTGGCATTTTGGCTTTTAAGTTAGTTCTTGGGTTTGAACTGTTGGCCGTAATCTTCCTGCTTCATAAAAGGATAAAGTTCTGTTGCAGTTGTTGAAGGGTATGAAAAGTTACTAGCCATCGTTGGCTTTCCAAGTAGGAATCAAGAAATTCTGTTGAATGTTGATTCAGTGTTAAGTGTTAACTCTGTTTAATGTTTGTTACTCTGTTTCATTGTTACTTTTCCACTCTATGACTGTTCAACATTTAATTTGCAAGAATTAAAGCCATGCATTTCCTGCTCCAGAGTACAGGGGAGAGGAACTTTGAAAAAAGTTATTTTAGTTATTTAAAAGTATTTTAGTTATTTAGCCTTATGCAAATAAAACCAAGAGTTGGTAGCAGTAGAGATTGAAGGTGCTTGAAGCACTTTGCTGATCTTATGAGTACATTAAATTTAACTAAGAATAGAATTAAGAATAGAAGAAGGAGCGGGATCACCTGTTGGGTTTTTTTCTCCATACTCAGAATGTGGGAGCTGAACACATGCTGCTGATGTGATCAGTGTTGAAAACTAGGTTATATATTTTTGTCTGAGGTCCTCCACTGCGTGATTGATCAATCTGTGCTAGAGCTGAGGCTTCTAGGATGAATACAGTATACATAACTCAATATATAACTTGTTATCCTGCTAAAAGAGGTTTGCATAAGCAGTGGAGGAGTATGTTAGTAAGTGGTCTTTCAAATTGGCAAGCAGCAACAAGCTGTTTTAAATCAACGTGTACTTTAATCAAGTCTTCAAGTAAATAGCCAACTTTTATAGCCTCCTCTGTCAAGTGCAGCACACAGAGTCAGTGGGTAAGTAAATCAAAATACTGTTACTTTTGTTGTTGGCAGGTCATTATGCACGGCAGAGGCAGAGGAGTAGCAGGCCAGATGGGCCGAGGACGCCTGATGCCAAATAAACAGAACCTGCGAGTGGTGGAGTGCAAACCTCAGCCCTGTATTGTGTCAGTTGAAGGGCTTTCTTCATCAACTACTGATGTCCAACTGAAAAACCTGCTGATGTCAGTGGGACCCATTCAGGTAGGTCAACCTTGGTTTATCATTTTTGTGCCAAAAGGCTTTCATTCCAGAAAGCTCAATTAATTCCCTGACACTAAATACAATGCGTGTTTATTGGTAATTTATGTTTGAAGGCACCCCCACGCACGCAAGCTACACCTGGTAGCAAAGGCAAGCACGTGATGATATTGCAGCACAGGAGGCACGGTAGGATATTGCTAACCATCACATTCCTGCTGCAAAATTCTCCTTCATTTTGGAGTTCCTGTGCTATCTCTGTTATTTTTGTAGGCAGTGCGAGCCTGTCCATTCTGTGAGGTTGTTAAAGCCAGATGGTCATATTAAAGCAGATGTATTTGGGGTACTGTCCTTGTTTATTGTTGACTTGCACCTACTCTCCTTTTTGACATTTACATTTTCCTGTCACTGCAGTCCTGGGGTACAAGCACCTAATGACCCAGTGGACGTTTTATACTTTGTAGCATCCTCTACTTTTTCAGTCTTCTTTGGAGGATTTTATTGATCCTTAATTTTTTAGAAGGTTCTCTTTGGTAGGGGCCTGTGGGCAAGGTTATGACATGCACACACTTGTATCTGCTGTGCAGCTTCTGTTCACAAACTGCCTGCTGGAACTGATGTGTCAGTTAAATGACTTGAGGAAAGCAGGAGGTTTTCAAAGCAGTGAAAAGCTTAGGAGGCCCTGTCTGACTATTGTTACTGCATTTAAAAATATCAGCCAATGAATAATGAAAAATACAGGTGAGAATTTTTTTTCCTTTTGACAGGAACATTTTCAGACAAATGCAATGCATGAATTGGAGGTGTTCTGTGAGACTTCTTCATTACTAGGATCATCTCTCTGTTGCAAAACACACTGCTCTCCTAAAAATGAACACTCTGCCTCACTTGTTCCTAATTTAGTAAATGGAATAATGCTGAATTATTTACGTCATCAATTCAGAGAGGTTTAATTTGTTTGGGAAAGCAAAACTACCCTCACAAAATACTTTGTGCCTTTGTGTTCTGTAGTACTCTAGGAAATTATTCATACAGTTCCAAAGCACATTTATTCAGTGTTTACTTGCTAAATCTTGCATGAGAATATTAGAAGGAGATTAATAGAAACCTTGCAAGGAAATCTCACAATTGAGAGAAGTTATTGAGAATGTGCTAAAAAATTTATTCAGTACTTGCTGTTTCATAGCAAACCCTGGTCTCTCAATTCAATGTCACAGACCAATTTTAAAGGATGTACTTACAGGAGAAAAAACAATGACTAATTTTCTAGTGAGATTTGATGCATATGTGTGCTCTCCAGAACTTGTATTCTTGCAGCAGCATCAACTGTACCTTTGGAGATTATGCTTTCTGAATCATCATCCATTTTCCTTACATGAAATCTATAAGTAGTACTTGAACAAGATGCTTGAATTTAGCTAATGATGCAGAATGTTCTTGTGCTACTTCTGCACTTGAATTTCAAGTCTGACTTGTAGAAGGCTAGAAATTCCCTGGCTTGTTTGAGACTAAATGATGTTTCACAAGTATGAATGGTGAGATATGCTGGAAAAAAGTGAAGCTTTTGTAGGAAGAATATGAGACTGGTTCCACCATCTGTAATACTTAACTTCTTGATTTTGTATTTTAATGGTACCCTGAGAAGTGGCACCACAGAAGTGTTAGTGCACCAGATGGGGAGGATGCAGCAACAATTTTAAGTTACTTGGAGGACAAGAATGGAAAACAAAATGTTTGAAAATCTACCTTTTTGCTGTCCACATCAGTTAGTTTTATACAGGTAGTGCTAGTTTTTCAAAGAGGTCAATGTCCTGAATTACAAAAGTGGATTTTCTCTTGGCTGTAAATTAATATTTTAACTCTTGTTTGTGCTCAGTGCTGCACAAAATCCCCTGCAGCTGGGAGGGTCAGGAGGCTCTGATAGCAAAGGAAGACTCAATGATTTCCTCCTTCTTCCTTTAATATGTGTTTCATGTAAGGGATATTGCAGGGAGGAGTGCTGAAGAGAGCCCAGCAGTGGCTGGAAGGGCTCTTTCCATGCAGGCTTTGGGGGTTCCTGTGTGAGGACAGTGTGTGTGGGAGGTGTGGACCACAGCAAACAGATCTTGGGTAGTGCAGAGCTCTGGTCCTCTAAGGTGAAGTGTTGCAGCTTGGTGGACTGAAATAGGAGGGATTTGGGGCGATGGCAGTTGTGAAAACATAGCAAGGTGTGAAATTCTAGCTGCTTTTTTTGAAATTAGGCCAAGATTGCCAGGTTTTTAGCTGTTTTCTTATGGAGCTGAAGAAATAGTAAGGGAAGGGAAAGGAGAGTCAGTTCTATCTGACTCAGTCTCTAAGATGTAGAATATTCTGTCTTCAGCTATTGACTATATATTCACCAAAATTTTCCTTAAGGAACTGAACTCTTTTGAGATCAAGATTTTTCCTTTCATTTGTCTTAGGGAAAATAAGTGTGTTGAACTCATGCTTATTTTTTGCAATTGTAAAGGAAATTTAAATCTGAATCAAAACTTAGGGAGTTCTCTTCATACCTTGACAGTGTCTTGAAATGACATATATCCAACCCCCAAATGCCTGGTTAAAGGTAAGGATTCACAAACTGTGGGACATAGTTCAACAAGCACCTCTGATGTTAAACAAGCACCTTGCTTTAAAGCAGCCTGCAGACACAGCTCAGAAATCCCAGTATCTTGTGTATCAGTTTCTGCTGCAGTCAACTTGGGAGTGGCTGAGACAGAGCTCCCAGAGAGGAGGAAGAAATAATTCCAAGGACTTCCTTGCTCTTTTACAAGAAGAGCAGACCACAAGCACTTGTCCCATCTGGTAGAGGGGCTCTGCTTCATATTCACCTTCCATGCTGGGGCATCTGTAAAGCAACTGATCCCACACCAGCTCTTGGTTCCAAATAGCCTGAATTTATTACAGTGTGATCATCCTGTGTGTCTTTCCTCAGAAAGTGAATCTTTGCTGACATAACAGTTTTAAGTTGTATAAAAAGTCTATAATCTATCAATGGAGTTAACAGGGAGGAAGAGATTACTTCGCTTTTCTGGGTCCAAAAGGCTTGGGGTTTTATTTTTAGCTTTTTCTAGTCAGTATCATTCTCGAGGTACAAATACCTCGCACAAACCTTGGGAAGGGAAGTTAAAAACTACCCTCAGTTTATGATGTTCAATGTTCCCAGCTTTACCATCAGCTTTCATGGAGGTGTCTGTGAGTCACAGTTTGGGAATAACTGGGCGTGCATAAGACAGGATGGGGAAAACTTAGAGTTGAAGTTGGGAATTTGCCGTTTTTCCCTTCCTATACCCTAGAAATTGAGAGAATTATCTTTTCCCATGTATAACCTTTGATATACCTTCAGCTGACTAATCACTGAAAACTCTAATTCTCATCCCCACTTCTCTGAAGTTGCTCTGTTACTGACATTGGGGAAAAAAAACACTATTAAGATTCTCAATACATTGAATATAAGAAAATCTTTAGGGCTTCAGGAGCATCCCCTTTGTTATAGCTGCCTTTTAAACTCAAACATGATGAAATTAGCAAAAGTGCTTCCTTCCAGCATACACGGCTGTCATACTCTTTCTGGAGAGGATGAGCTTTCAGAAGCAAATAATGTACCTGCAGTAAAATGTCATTGCTGATTCTAGAATAATTATGTGTTATAAATAAAATTATGTATTCCAAAGTGTTGGAAAGTACAGGAGATTTCTGAGCACATCACCAAACTAAAGCCTCCTGAGGACGGTGGTGGAGCAGTGACATTCAATGCACATCCATCCAGAACCACTTGATAAAGTAGATTACTAATAAGTTGCAAAGGTCATGAGAAACAGCACTTGTATTTTTTTTTTCTCTTGAATCCAGGTTTAATGTTTATACAGTCTATTTGTGTTCAGCTAGTTATTGCCACCCTCAGGTGAATTGAGTTTTTTTGGGATGGTGGCAGGTAGTGTAGACTGTTTTCTTTCCAGATAATTTGAGTACTGAGGGAATTGTTCTATGGAGGTATTCCATCATCATCATCTTTAATCACGTTTTCTTACATCAAATAAGTGCAAACCTAAAACATCAGTGCAAAATCTCAGTATTTGTGAAGATTTAAGATTATAAATTCTGATCCTTAAAAAGAGAGGAAATGGGAAGATACACTGTTGTGTATCAGAGATGAGGAGAATGTTGGGATTGTAGGTGTACTTTGAGTAGTTCTACAAATGAGGGTTTTGCTCTGCTAATGCTGTCATTTCTGGTCAGGGAAAGGAAGAGCAATTCCAACGCTGATGTGCCTGCCTTTGCTTTCTTGGAGTGACAGTGCTACCTAGTGCTCAGCTGCTGTAAAGGCAGCCTCAGCCAGCCCCTGCCCTGCCTGCATTCCCAGCTGCTGGAATTATGTGGGTTCACAGAGCCATGGGTGGAAAACCCACACACCCAGAACATGGGTGCTCTTGCAGGTCAGCAGGGGGTTCTCCTCTGACATAAGGTGCTCAGGCTGACCAGGGGATCACTGTGGTCTTTCTGCTTGTGAAAACATTTTCAGCTGTTGCAGAAGCTATGGGAGAAGATGTGGCCAGTCCTGCTCCATCCTTGGGGCTGGGGGAAAAGAAAAGCAGCTCCATCATGAGCCTGTCCAGGAGTGACAGATGCCCAGCTCAGGGACAGAACAGCCTTTCCCCTCCTGACTCCTTGCATATGGAGAAAGCAAGCTGAGTACTTTTAAGGGCAAATAATAGGAAATCAAAGGTGTCAGAAAAGTAGAAAGGAGGAACAGAAGGTGGAAGAGATCAATTGCAACAGCTGAGGGTGGTAAATACATTCTGTGCCAGCCTCTGTGCCTGCTGATAGTGGCTGGGAAGTGTCATTGCCAGGAAAGATGCTTCAGGTATCAGGAGACTGTAAGGACAATAAAAACATGTCTGTATTTATTGATGGCAGGGAAGAAGAAATAGAATCTGGTCATTCTGTTCCGAAAGTGCCTGCTGTGCTGCTGTTTGACTTGTTGC